TTCTTGAACAAAGACGACGGAGTTTGGGGCTAAGCAACTTGATTTTCTGTTAATATATTTCAATGTATTTTCAATGTATCATGATGTATTTTCATGTATTTCATTGTATTCACTAGTCTTTTTTTTCCATTGTATTTCAATGTATCCCGCTATATTATATGTATTTTATTATATTCACTGTCTTATTCCATGAATGTATTCGTATATTTTTTTTAATTAATATAATTTATGTATTCAGATGTATTATATAATTTCTCTGAAGATTGCTATGTTTTTGGGGTATTTTTTGGTTGAGAATCTTCTTTATAAATGAAAATACAAAATTTGTGTGTTATAATTGAGTTTGTTGAGTTATATTAGGAGTCTATTATGTTAATTGATTCACTTTCCGTTTTAAAAACAGTGTAATCCCCTATTTCACGCCGTGAATACTGTCGAATACAGTTGAATACAATAATCTGTCCAACTGTAATTCCATGTTTCACTCCATGTCGAATACACTAGAATACAACAACTAATTAGCTGGACTTCCTAGATTCACGCCTATTTTTGCTACTGTATTCATGAATATAATAGCTTAAATACATCAAACACATTTTATAACAACACAAAAGGTATTTATAATCCGTAATATAACAAATGGTATCTATAGATGACTAATTACTACCAAAAGATAGTGCTTTAGAAAAATTTGTCATGATTCTACTATAGGCAAAGGAAGCATAAAGCTCACCGTAAAAATTTAGCCGCAAATACGATCAAATCAAATAGTTTAATTTGATTAATTAAAATTAGAATGATGACATGCATATATCTTGCATTAATTTGGTGTAAACTTGCCACGACGTCTCTCTCTATATATATACTAATATTAGCACCCGTGCGGATACACGAACACTAATCATGTCAAATATTTATTTATTTGAATTATGTGTCAATAGTCTTAGAATTTAAACCTTCTTGATAAATATAGATAATTATTGGATACTCCTATAAATTAAGAAATACTACATGAAAAAGATTAACCATTTTTCAAATTTCCTAGTTATAATTCTATTTTCTTTTTTGGTACCATTCTTCGCGGTGTCATTGGATCCTGAAAATAGTCAGGAAGCAAAATAATAACTCATATCTATGGCAAAACAATCAAAGGTTGAGACTATGAAGGATTCTTTGGATATAACTCGACTCTTGTATTACTACTTGAACTCTTATTTGGTCTGTTGATATCTTTCAAAAAATATTTCTATTTTAAAATTTCAATTTCTAAAATTTTATTTTTCAATAATAATTATGTTTATAATAATGGAAGTAAAAATATTATCCTTAATTCAAAAACTCAGTTTAGTCAGCTATCTAAAAATTTAAATAATTCTTTAGCCAGTGAATTTATTTTTTCCAGTATGACTCTATTTTTATATTTGACACTGACCATATTAAACATCTGAGTTATTTGAATTATATATAAATAACCTTAAAATTTAAACCTTCTATATAATTATAGATAATCGTTAGATATTAATTAAGAAATACTACATGGAAAAAAAACTAATATTTTTTCAAATCTCGTAGTGATTTTTTTTTTTGCACCATTCTTATTGAAATCATTAGAACCTAAAAATAGTCACGAAGCGAAATAATAACTCGTATTTATAGCAAAACACAAAGGGTGACACAATATGAACGACTTCTTAGTTACGACATGACTCTTTTACTATGATTTGAACTCTTCTTTGGTATGTTGTTATCTTTCAAAAAATATTATATTTTGAAATTCTAATTTTATTTTGGTATGTTTTTATCTTTCAATAATGATTAGCTTTATAATGATACAAGTGAAGATATCATCCTTAATTTAATATCCACTTTAATAGACTATCTACAAATTTAAATATATGAAAAATCTAAGAACCAGAATAGAGATAACAACGAATTTCTTCTTCTCTTTATCTGTTGAGTATAAAAAATTTGGAAGCTGATCTCATCGATTTAAAATATTTTTTTCAACTCAAATACATAGATTATAAGATAAAGATATCTTAGAATATATTTTTTCTAATTTACATTGTGTGTCGTTTTCAAAAAATTACTATTACTAACAAACTGATATGATATTCAAATCTGAATTTAGATGCAATTTGAGTAGTATGCATTGATGTAAAGCCATGTATAGTGTCGAGAAAAAACTACTTGATAATTTTAAGACAATATCTGCAATGTTATATAATAACAATCAGCTAATTTAACATTTAATGATTCAAAGAAAAAAATTATATATAAAAGTTATTCAAAATTTAAAATCTGTGGCTAGAGATATCAATAAACTCAAAATAGAGCCATACTGAAACAAAATTTCGCCGGCTAAAAAATTATTTTTTCTATATTTATTTTCTTATGTCTTTCTTTCTTTTGTAACAAAAAATTAATTTATTTCGCTATAAAAGGATGATTTTTAATAGAAATTGTATACATAAGAAATTTATTTATATTTTTAGTCTTTGGTTAAAATTATTTTATATTTTTCTTTTGGCTTTATCTAATCAACCTAAATATATGCTCACCTAACCACTTAAATTAAAAAATTAAAGAATGTGTAATTTATATATAATACATATATAATACTTGTATAATCATGTATCGTCAGTATATCATTTATGTATATCAGCTATAAAAGATCAACGATAAATCTGGCCGGATATTTATTTAAATATTCCATAAGATTTCTGTTACTTGATTTCATCCATGATATGACTTCTATTATAATAATTTAAAAATTCTCTACTAAAATTCAAAAATATCTTATCCTTTTATTTTTAAAATTACATTATATTTTAAAAAATAATCACATTTTGAAATAATTTTTTACAATTAAAAAAAACATTTGGTGTCATACCATTTATTTTCAAAATATACTTTTTGTTATACTTGAAAATCGATATAGAAACTACCAATTAGAAATCAATATTCCTCTTGTGAAATTCGAGAAACCTTTCATATAATTTAATGATTCAAAACTAATATTCTTCAACAAAAAAAATATCATACCCCTGCAATGTTGGCTTGACTGCAGCTAAATGAAAAGGTTTCAACTTATACCCTTTAATTCCTAAAAGATGCTAAATTAAAAGTAATGATAGCAATTGTATAACCAATATTTTGTTATTTTTTTTTATGTCCATTTTTACAATTTGACTCTTCAAACAAACATTCTTCAAAAAAAAAAAAAAAA